CATCGCCTAATACCGTGTTTGCGACAGGCACGAATTTGTGGATGAGCACACTCTTTTTAGTATTTCTATTGTTAGCCAAAAAACAAAGCCTAAAAACAGACAAAACAAAAAAAACCGAGTCATCCACTTCCACTTGCTCAGGCTTCTTCACACGCGCATGTGAAGCGCGTGTCACCTACACATCTTGTGTTTTTTTCTTCTCCGTGTCTGTGCCGAGGTTTTATTTTAGTCGTCAACGAGTTGACATTACTAGAACCCTTAATCTAAGTTTGATTTTTCTTTGACAAAAACACAATAAAATTCTAGAAGATCAACAAAATACAATATAGATCGACTGCTTACGTATATAAATTTTGGAGTAGAAAATAATCAAAAATCATGCATGCATTAAACAAAACTTTGGTGTCAGTTTTGATTAGTTAAATGGTTATTACTGTTAATTAATCTGATTTAGTGATCTGTTGTATTCAACTAAATTTGTTTTGTTATACAGTCAAGATTTTGTTAGATTTGTAAAGAGATTTCTGATTAACAAATCTTAAAATACAGAAAAAAACATAAAACAGTTATGTTAACCGAACGAAACCGAGAATTTTAATTAAAAACTGGGGGAAAACGACTCAAGAACCAGAATTAATTTAGAGCAAATGAACCGAGTTCGTTGATTAAAAAATAAAATAAAATAAAAATATAGTATGTTTTCTATTTCAAAATATAAGTTGTTTTAGAAATTTTTTTTTGGTTGTTTTAACGATCCTAAATATATTTTAAGTTTATTGAATATTTTATGATCACTAATATTTTACAGTATTTTGTATAATTGATCTAATTATTTTTATTAAATATATTAAATGATACTACTGTTTAGTAGAACATAATTTCTTAATATGAGTGATTTTAGTTAAAACCATTTATATTTTGAAAGGGACGTAGTATTTGTTAGACGAGCAAAACGAAACGAAGCGCGTGAGATTTTTCCATATAAAGATAGTCTCGTAAAACGTAACGTTCTTAACAAATTCGCACCTCTCTCTCTATCTCTCCTTTGTTTGTTGCTTATCGATTTTCTCTCTCTACTTCCTTAAAATCGATCCTCCCGAATTCGAGAACAGAGTTTTGATTGATACAAATCCTTTGAATCGAACTTAATCGGAAAAAAATGACAGGCTTCTCTGTTTCTCTTTTCGTCTCAAACTTGTCAAATGTCGCCTCGTATCTGTCTCCGATCTTCGAGAAAATCCCGTCCAAGGTTGTTCCGGCCCAGATCGAGCAAGTTGTCTCTTTGGTCTCCCGGACTGGTAGGGATCTGCAGCGTTACGATAACGCAGGTTATCGTCAAGTAGTTGGGTACGTCGTCTCACTCCCCCCCCCCTCTGAAACCCTAATTTTTGTTCATATTGACGAAAATTTGGATCCCCAATTTGAAATTATCTCTCAATTGATTAGTTCTAGGTCTTGGGATTTCGCAGTTCTATGATTTTTCGGAAATTGAAATGATTATGATTCTGATTCTGTTTGGGTGGTTAAAAAGCCTGTGAAATTGGGGATTTTTGGAATTAATGTTCTATTTATGATTTATGTCAAATTGCTGCGACAATTTGAAAACTTGAAACGATTTGAGTTAGTTTTTTCTTTGAATCGCGGCGGTCAAAACGTGTTGAAATTTTCCACATTTGAGGACTGTCGAGTATCACTGTTCATTTCCTTTGGTTTCTTCTGGAATCTCATGTTAAAATTGGTCAAATTTGTACAGTTGCGTACCGTACAGATACAAGAAGCATGAAGTGAATGGAATCGAGTCGAAAGAGATCGAATTTCTCCTTATCAGTGCTCAAAAGGGCAAAGGAATGTTATTCCCAAAAGGAGGTTGGGAGATTGATGAATCGATGGAAGAAGCAGCTTTGAGAGAGACGATCGAGGAAGGGGGTGTAACAGGAGAGCTCGAAGAAAAGCTCGGGAAATGGCAATACAAAAGCAAAAGACACAACATAATCCACGAAGGATACATGTTCGCTTTGCTTGTTAATCAAGAGTTTGAGCAATGGCCCGAAGCGGAAATTAGACAAAGGAAATGGGTAGGTTTGGATGAAGCAAGAGAAGTATGTCAGAATTGGTGGATGAGAGAAGCTCTTGAAGCATTCGTTAACCTGAAATGTAACAGCGAGGAAGTTGAGATTGGAGAGAATAATGCAAGTGGAAATTGACTAGTGGTAAAAAGAAAAGAAACAATGTTTAGAGTTGGTGAAACAGAGCTTTTTAGACTTAGAAAAACCTCTACATGGATCTCTGAAGGTTCCTGTGGAGATTCCTTTTGGTCACAGCA